ATCAATCTGTATGTTGAGCAAATAATCGGGAGAAGCTCAACCATATGAAGAAGAATGTGAAATCAGGATTGGAGGAAGACTCATTAACTACCTGCAATATGCATATGACACAACCTTGCTTGCTGAAAGTGATGATGACTTGAATCATTTACTGATGGAGATTAAAGACTAGTCTTCAATATGAATTACACCTCAGCCTAAAGAAAACAAAAGTCCTCACAACTGGACCAATAAGTAACATCACAAGAAATGGAGAAAAGATTGAAGTTGTCAAAGGTTTCATTTTACTTGGATCCAAAATCAGCATCCATGTAAGCAGCCATCAAGAAATCAGACATCATATTGCATTGAGCAAATCTGTGGCAAAAGACCTCTGTAAAGTGTTCAGAAGCAAATATGTCACTTTGAAGATTAAGGTCTGCTTGACTAAGCCCTGGTATTTCCAGTCAGCTTATATGCATGTGAAAGCTGGACAATGAATAAGGAATACCGAAGAAGAGTTGATGTTTTTGAGTTGCGGTGTTGGTGAAGAATGCTAAAAACACCATGAACTGCCAGAAGAATGAACAAATCTGTCCTGGAAGAATTGCAGCCAGAATGTTCCTTAAAAGTGAGAATGGCCAGACTTTGTCTCACTTACTTTGGTCGTATTGTCAGAAGGGATGATTCCTTGGAGAAGGACATCATGCTTAGTAAAATAGAGGGTCAGCAAAAAAGGGGAAGACCCTCAATGAGATTGACTGACACAGTGGCTACAACAATGGGTCCAACCATAGCAAGGATCACGAGCATGGGGCAGAACCAGGCAGTTATTCCTTCTGTTATACACAGAAATGCTATGAGTCAGAGCTGATTCGATGGCACAAAACAACAACTTGTTGAAAATGTTAAGAATGAGGTAAAACAAAATACGTTGACATGGAAAGCTGTGCAATTTTCTTGTTAAGTCAGAAAAGCAAAATTGTACACACAGACAGACAGATATGAAGTTAGGGAATGCATGCACGAGAGAGGTTTCATTTATGGCAAAAATAGTCATGTGTCTGAGTATATATATAAAGAACTATCAACTGGGGAATGGAGTTAGAGTTACTGAAGGAAGGAATACAGGGGAATTTGTGTATTTTCCTGTATATGCTTCTATCTAGTTTGGAAATTTTACAAGGAAGGGGTTTTCATGTAAATAAAAAGTGCTACAAGTGAATTATAAATAAAAGGGACTAGAGAAGGGATTGATCATAGCTGCTGCTGAGAAAGTAGGTAAAAGCTTCAAGGATGAAATGTTGTTTGAGAAGGATCTTGAAGGCCAGATTAGATTGATACATTTAGAAGTATATTTTGTGCTTGAGGGAAATTCCAGGAAGAGAGAACAAAATGAGAAAATGAAGTGAAGCTGAGAAAAAGAGGACTTATGTAGAAGAGAAAAATGAATGGTTCAGCCAGAGCAAAGCATCTAGGAAGAGTTTCAGAAAATGTCTTTGAAAAGGGAGATTGGAGGTAGTTGATGGAGACCACTGAATATAAAGCTCAGACTTTGGAGTTTTTTCTTTAGACCATGGGAGTGATTGAGTGCAACAAGAGCAGACCTGGCTTCAGTGTCTCAGATGGAGAAGAGTAGGGAAAGGCTGGGTGGATGTCAGTTGTAACACTCTTGACCATGACTGGTAAGCAGGGATTGAACCAAGATAATAGCCATGGAAGTGAACAGGTAAGAAGTGATACAAGGCAAATCATGGAGGTAAAATTAATTTATCAGTTTATCAGGTATATGCAGCAAACGATAGAAAGAAGAATAACAAGGAGCAAGGGTCAAGGATGATTGTGGTGGTAATCGGTACAAATAGGACCAGTGAAATGATATGTTCCCCAACCTCACCGTAACTCTCCCATGTCTACCTTTGGCTTTGATCTGGAATCTCCAGCTTATCTCCAAAGGACTACTTTTATTGAGTTCTCTGGATTGCAGCCCATCTATGGGCTGTGCACAATGCCTGCACTAAGATCACTCCAAACTCAGCTTCTGATGCCACTTCAGTGTGTCTGGCTCTGTCAATGAGTAGCTGTGCACTTCTTTCTTACTCTCTAAAATTTCTCACTGCCCTCTGCTGCCCTTTGTTTCTCTGCCTGCATTGTATCACCTCAATTAGACAGAATCCACCTTATAGAGTTGGGTCAGAAGATGACTCATATTCCATAGATTTTACCTTGATTTTTTTTTGTGCATGAGAATGATAAAAGTGTGTAAGTAAACTTTAGACTAAAGTTTCAAAATTATTACTCAGTTCCACTAAACAATACTGCCCTGACAGTACCTAATACTTAACATTCATCTTTACTAGAAATAACTAACTATATTTTTAAATATCTTCATAGCCTTCCATTTTTTTATGGAAGGGTTCTACTACACAGAATCCTTTGAATTTTTAAAAAATTATTAAAATTTAATTTTTCCATGTGGCTTTATTAACAACAGTGTATTTTTTTCAAATAGATGCTTTAAAAAAATAATATAAATTACTTGGGAAGAGTGATAGAAAAATTTGGTTGGCGAGAATTAGTAAATAACTGAGGCCATTGACCTGCTGATTTGGAAGACGTCATTCCCAAAAGTTTGGGTGGCCTGCTCAAATTAACAAAATTTGTTTTATTCCCCCCCCCTTTTCTTTTAATGTAATTTTTATTGTTTATACTCAACAGATGAAATATTTATTATTAATCTTATAATGAAAATCAGTCATCCCTGCCCACATCTTTTTCCTTTCTCACTCTTTATACCTAGAGTTACCTAGTGTCAAACTCTTTTAGCAGTTCTCTTCTGGTGTTCGAATCCATGTCTTTAAGTAACATAGTTGAGACATTCTTCTTGCAAGACAAGTGTTTAGAACTGTTACATCAACTCTCTTACATACATCTCTCCTCCTCCCAGCTATGATCACCCTGTTCAAAATTGCAAATCCCATATCCTTCACACTAGTAGCACTCCCTGTCCCTCCCCTTCCCTGTTTTATTTTTATCCATAGCACTTACTATATAATTGTACATGCCCCATAAAATTATGTAGTTTACTTAATTATTTTGTTTGATATCTGGCTCTCCCTGTACAATGTAAGCTCAATGAAGACAAGGACACATGTTTTTGTTCATCAATATTATCTCCTGTGCATAATAGATGTTTAATAAATACTTCTCAAATGAAACGATCAACTCAATTATTTAAATTATCATGAAATTAATATTTAAATAACAATTACTTAAATTTTATCAAATGTAACTAATACACACAATTAAGCCACACAGTGATCTTTGGGTACATTTCCTATCTGGTACAATTTTTTTTTTTCCTTAGAGAAAGTAATTAACTTAAAAAAATTACTGTGTTTTCTATATGTTCAATGTTAATTCTACCTCCAGGCATTCAAATGGAATTATTTAAATCCTTGGCAGTATGACTGCATCAGAAAATCGATCAGTTCTGTTACTGCTTTTCTTAAAAACATTCCTCCAGAGCGCTGTGTCTTCCTGTTTTTATCTGAACAGGTTATTCTCTAAGTGTGCTGCCTAGTGTGTATGCTGAGACTTCCACTCACCATTATCTTGGAATTTCATTTGCCTCTTTCTCATATTGACTATCTTGTTCTTAGTTTAACTCTACTTTTTGGTGAAGCCTGTCCTCCAGTAACTCCCTGGAAAAGAATGCAGGGAAAGTAACATTTTGACACCATGTATGCTTAAATATATCTTTATTCTATCCTTACAGTTCACTGATAGTTTGGTAGGTATAGAATTCCATTTTTAAGGTATTTGAAGACATTGCTTCATTGTCTTATGCTTTTCTATTTTGCATTTTAGGTCCATTGCTTTCTAATTCCTTATACTTCATACATGATCTATGCTTTTTCTTTGAAAGTTTTTTTTTAATCTTCTTTTATTTTTTTTTTCCTGTTCTAAATTTGCAAAATAATATGAGAATCTTGTTTTCTAATTCAATGCTTTAAATCATACCTTTCAATTCTGAGAAATTTTTTATACTACTATATTTCCTCACTTAATTATTTCATTACCCAACATTTCACATTTATGACAATAGCAAAAAATCTACTGTCCAACTATTTTGTGCATGAACAACTTACATCTGGCAGTAACAAACACTGAGTTATGAGGTGAAATTAAAGCTGGCTGTGATGGTTAAGGTTATATATCAACTTAGCTGGACCATGATCCTCAGTGGTTTGTTAGGATATGCAAATTAGAAGTCATATAATGAAGTAATTTGCCAGTTATATAATGATCTAGTCATCCTCCATTTTGTCTGTTGTGGGTCATCCTCCATTTTCACATAATGCCCCTTTTTACATAACAACCTTTGTACACTAGCCATGTCAATAATTGAGGAGTGAGTGTACTTTGGAAATTTTGTCTCTCCTATTTTTTCTACTTTTTCCTTCTGGAAGTAAATTAGTTAATATTGGACCTTCTGAATTTTTCTCTTATTTCTTGACTTCTTTCTGTTTTCCTTTTTGTTCACTTCTCTTTACTCTCTGCTTACTCTCTCCAATGTGAGATTAAGGTACTCTAACTGTAATATCCAGGGCTCCTCCTTTTCTTGTTTCACTGATGCATTTACTTCGGTCATCTCTCGTGATAATTACAGGTAGTTCCCAAATTATGATGGAGTTCTGTACTGACAACTCCATCATACATTAGTTCTGTGTAAGCATAAGTAGAATACTTCTTTTTCTTTTTGTTTTCATTATTATTGCCTTTTGTTTTCAGTGTCTTTATAAATCAGAACATTGAATATCTACAAGTGAACATATGAGAATGATAACATCAGCAAATTACATGCTGCAACATTTTATGTAGTACATATTATTAATGATAAGATGTAAAAAAAAAAAAAAGATGGCCATAAATGTGATTCATCATAACAGCATCAAACACAGTGTCTTTCTGATAGTAGAAATTCCCTCAATATTGACTTGATGTTTCCTTCATTTTAGCACTTCCCATTGTGAATGGTGCCGGGGGCCCATGTTTGGTGAAGGCTTTTGCATCATCCGATCCTGCGATGTTTTTGGAGTAACACAGTTTCCTGTTATGTTTCATGTCTGTTCTTCTGCATGCTATGGACAAGTAAAGCAAAGCACTTAGGTTTTTGATATTATTTCTGTTAAGAAAAAAAAAATGTAATTTTAAGCTCTGAGTTGACAAGAGAATGAGAATCTGTCATTCCCACTATAAAAGCCGATAATATCTTAAAAAACTGGTATGATCGCTAACTGCTACTTTGACCCTCATCTCGTAAAACTGTGGTCCTGGGCATTGGCTTGATTCTATAGGCTAGCCCCAACACTCACCAGGCCTTTAGTAATAGCATGACAAGAAGATGGAGCATAATTTACAAAATTACATTGCAGAGTGTCATACAAATACAGTAGAATTTGAGGTTATAAAAATTAATATTTGATAAGAGTAATGTAAAAGAGCATTTTGATCTAACACACAATTTTAGAAGGACAAGTAACTGTTTCATGTATGGCACACCTTTTATGTACTCTCTTAAATCTAAATATCACTGCTAATTAAACTTGAAGTGAAATAATTTAAGTATGTAATGATATCTTATTTTTAGAAAATACACTATGTCAACTTTGTGTGTGTCATTTAATAATACCATTTAAATAAAAATAAATAAACCAGGTAGAATAATTTTTCTGACTATTGATTTCAATAAATTGAGATCCTTACATTTTTCTCCTGAAGACTTGGTTTGATTTTAAGCAGAAATAGGTAAACTTTGCACCATATTCTCCAGCAAAAGAATAAAAGTATTTACAACAGAAGAAGCAGCTACCACATCACACATGCAATCCAGAAGGGGATATTTATTGTAAGATAACAAAACTTCCTTAAACATATAATACGCCATAATTAGAAAACAAGATTAAATATTAGTGACATGTAGTCTATTAAACCTGACCCCTGATATATTTCTTGGGGAAAGAATATATTTACTGGTTCATTCAGGAAATGTGGGGTTTTGGCTTGAGTTACTGGGTGGTGTCATATTGAGACATGAATAAATGAGAATAGGTTTCAAGGAAAATTATGTCTTAGAGACATTACAGAGAAACAAATTTTAAGTATATATAAATCACAGTCTTATCTATTTATTTTCCCATAGTTAGAGTAAATGATTTCTTGCAGTTTTAAAAAATGACTCAAAGTGTGTTTTTTCTTAATATAAAGGTGAGATATATTTATTATAGAAATATTAGAAAATACAATTAAGCCTAAGAAGACAAATACAAAATTTGTAATCTCATCACTTAAAGAGACCAGAGATAATTTCGACATGGAGATGTATGTGTGTGTGCGCACACACACATGTGTACCTTTAGTCTTTTTTTAAAACTGGGATTATCTACCTCACACTACACACAAAAATTGATGTGAAAATACACTATAAGTTGAAAATGTATACCCAAAACTCTAAAGCTGACCCCCTGAAAAAGGTATAACAAATAAGCCAAAAATAAATAAATGAAATCATCAAAAATATTTAATCCAAAAATAAACAGAAGAAGAAGGGGGAAAGGGAGCAAATAACAGATTAGGCTAATCAAAAACAAATAGCATGATGACAGATTCAAACCCAGTCACATCAACAATCATGTTAATTGTAAATTGTCTAAACACACCAATTTAAAGGACAGAGATTGTAAAATTGGATTTAAAAACAACTTCCAGCTATCTGCTGCCTGCAAGAAACCTCTCTCAAACATAAAAGTACAAATGGATTAAAAGTAAAAGGATATTATCATGGTTTGTCTCATGTGTAAAATAGACTAAACTGTGTTGTTGTTAGCTGCTGCCAAGTTGACTCTGACTCACAGTGACCTTATGTACAACAGAGCAGATGCTTTTTGAACAACAAAACATTGCCCAGTCTTGCACCATCCTCACAACTGCTGGCATGTTTGAGTCCATCACTGCTGCTGCTATGCCATTCTATCTCACAAAGCACCTCCCTCCCTTTTGCTGGCCTGCTAAAAAACCAATAAATCACACCCACTGCCATCAAGTCAATTCCAACTCATAGAGACCCCCACTGGATTCCCAAGGCTGTAAATCTTTATGGAAGTAGATTGCTAGGTCTTCCTCCCATGGAGTGGCTGGTGAGTTTGAACCACCAACCTTCTGGTTAGCAGTCAAATGCCTTAGGCACTGTGCCACAAAGTTTCCTTTTTATTGGTATAGTAAGGACCCTCTACTTCATCAAAAACAATGTCTCCCTCAAAGAAATGATCTTTCCTGATGATGTGCCCAAAGCAAGTGAGTCAAACAATATTCTGTTGTGGATTTGTAAGGTTTTTTTGGCTAATTTTCAGAAGTAGATCACCAGATCTTTCTTCCTAATCTATCTTAGTCTGGAAGCTCAGTTTAAACCTGTTCACCATAGGTGATGCTGCTGGTGTTTGAAATACTGGTGGCAAAACTTTCAGCAGCATACCAACATGAAAGCCACTACATTTTGACAAACTGACAGGGGTCATGGCTAAGCTACATTAAAAAAAAAAAAAAAAACCTCACTGCCATTGAGTCGGATCTGACTCATAGCGACCCCTCCTTGGGTTTTTGAAGCAGTATCTCTACAGAAGTAGATTGCCCAATATTCCTTCCAAAGAGTTGTTGGTAGGTTTGAACCACCAGCCTTCTGGTTAGGCACTACACCACTGGAGCTCCTTGCCTAAGCTATAGAACCTAGTTATTTAATCAAACACTAACATACTTGCTGTTGTGAGTTAAGCTATTTTGTAAATGTGGTTAATAACTACAGTCAATTGCCTTTAAGTAAAGGTGATTACCTTGATAACGTGGGTAGGCCTAGACCTAATCAAATCTACTGAAGGCGTTAAGAGCAAAAATTGAGGTTACCTGGAGAAGGAAAAATTCTACCTCAAGACTGCAGCATAATATCCTACCTGAATTTCCAGCCTGCTGGTCTCCTCTGCAGATTTCATAATTGTCAGGTTCTCTGGAGAACCCTGACTGCTACATATGGAAAACTTTATTCCAGGCTAACTCTAAATCAAACTAAATAAGAATAAAAAGGTGAAACCAATACAAATTCTTCAAACATTAAAAGGACCATGGAGAATATTGTTAATAATATTTTTTTTCCAACTCATAGCAATCCCCATTGGGTTTCTCAGACTGTAAATCTTTACAGAAGTAGCTTGCCATGTCTTCCTTCTGGGGTGCAGGTGGTGGGTTTGAACCACTGACATTCTAGTTAATAGTCAAGTGCTTTATCTGCTAGGCCATCAGAGCTCCTAACATTATTAGTGAATGTGATAATTTAGATAAAATAGACAAAAAGTTCTTGGAAAATGAAAGTTTTAAAGGTGTACTCAAGAAATAATGAGGAGCTCTGGTGGCATAGTGGATAAGGCACTTGACTGCTAACTGGAAGGTCAGCAGTTCACACCTGCCAGCTGCTCCATCGAAGGAAGATGGAGTGATCTCCTTCCATGAAAATTTATAGCCTCGAAGACCCAGTGGAGTTTGCTATGAATTGGAAATGACTCGATGACAGTGAGTTTCTTTTTTTGTTTGTTTGTTTTTGATACTCAAAAAATAGATAACCTAAATAGTTCTATATCTATTTTAAAAATTTAAATTATACTTAAAAATTTTCCCACACAACTCCTGGCCTACATACCTTCACTGATGAATTCTTCAAAACGGTTATGAAAGATTAGCTATCAGCTAATCTATATAAATGCTTCCAAAAAATTGAAGAGGAGGAAATACTTCACAGCTCATTTTATAATCCAGCAACATCCTGATATTAAAACCAGGAAAATATATTAAAATGTGAGACAACTATAGACAAATACCTCACATGTACATAGACACAAAAATTCTAAATAAAATTTTAGTAAATTAATATAACAATGTACTAAAAGGATAATATATCATGACCAAAATGGAATTGTCCCCGGAATTCAGGGCTGGTTTAACATTCAAAAACCAATCAACGTAATTCACTCTATTAACAAACAAAAAAGGAAATGCCATGTGATCACTTTAATAGATTCAGAAAAAGCATTTGACAAAATCCAACATCTGTTTTTCATAAAAGCTTTCAGTAAACTAGGAACAGAATTGTACCTCCTCCAGTTAATAAAGGGCATATATGAAATCTACATCTAATATACTTATGGGCAAACTGAATATTTTCTATTTAAATCAGGCACAAGAGATGGTTGCCCACTGTCGCTATTTCCGTTCAGTATTGTACTGGAGGATCTAGCCAGTGCAATCAGGCAATAGAAGATATCTGTCTTAGAAATGGGGAGCTCTGGTGGCATAGTGCCTAAGGCATTTGACTACTAACTAGAAGGCTGGCAGTTAAAATCCACCATCCACTCCTCAGAAGGAAGATTGGGCAATCTATTTCTGTAGAGATACCACCTCGGAAAAACAAGGAGGGGTCGCTATGAGTTGAATCAGCTCGATGGCAGTGAGTTTATTTTTTATTTTTATTTCAGAAATGAAGAAGTAAATTCTTTATCCACAGACAACATGATCGTCTCTATATAAAATCATGTCATATTGCCCTGGAAAATCAGCTGCAAAAGACCTCTTTAAAGTGTTCAAGAACAAAGATGTCACTTTGAAGACTAAGATGCACCTAACCCAAGCTATGGTATCTTCAATACCCTCATATGCATGTGAAAGCTGGACAATGAATAAGGAATACCAAACAAGAACTGATGCTTTTGAATTATGGTGTTGGTGAAGAATACTGGAAGTACCATGGACTGCCATAAGAAAAAATAAATTTGTTCTGGAGGAAGTACAGCTGGAGTGCTCCCTAGATGGGGGAATGACCAGACTTTGTCTCAACTACTTTGGTCCCAGTCCCTGGAGAAGGATATCATGTTTGGTAAAGAAGAGGGTCAGAAAAGAAGGGGAAGACCCTCAACAGGATGGATTTATACAGTGGCTATAATGATGAACTCAAGAATATCAAGGATTACGAGGATGGCGTAGGATCAGGCAATGTTTTGTTCTGTTGTATATATGGTAACTATGAGTTGGAGCTGACTCAATGACACCTAACAACATGTAGAAAATCTGAT